AGCTCACTTGGCCAACCATAACAAGGTCACACCTGCCCAGCTGTTCTTGGTGGTCATGCTGTCTTAGGATGAGATCCAAAGCCACTGAAATAATCAGAAAAGGCCCTGTTGACTCAAGTGGATCTTTGGATCAGACCCTTAGTCCCTGTTTCTACTAAATTAGCTGTGCAAGCTGGCAGAGATTTCCCTGTATCATGCATGGTAGGTTTTAGTCCTTTGGGATTACTCTAACAACTTTATAGTTCCATATTGGTAGACATTTCATCCTAATGGTTTTTAGTAAGCGATGTCATTGCTCTCATCTTCATCTGTTGATACATTTTGGTAAAAATCTAGGACATCTTTAAGACCCATGGGTCTACTCCCATTTTTAACATAGAAATGGGCTTTTGGGATTAGGCTGTGAATAGGTGAGCAATCGACAAATTTCCAGAAGATGCAGACTGTAACTCAGAGTAACAGGTTAGAGTGCGAACCACAGAAAACGCACATATAAGGGAGAATCAGTGAGGGGGAGGAGAGTTATTGCATGGTTGGGGAAGTGAAGAAGTGAATTTTTTTCTCATACTGTATAGGGTAAATTGATGCAAAATTTTGATCCAAAGGCGATTAAAGCATATGCGTTTCTATCTATTGATTCCAATAAATAATCCCTGGAAAAGATTAATTGCTTTTGAAATCAGTAGGGGTTTTGAGGGCTGATTCTGGCATAAGTGGCAAAGACTCAGACCTTGGTTGTTCTAAAGCTAAGGAGAGATGTTCATTCCTGAAGTACTGCTCGTGTAGCAGGTGTGCACATGATTTGGTTTCCATATAGTTATCGTGCTGTCTGAATAATTTTTCCTTTACTATGGTTCACTTTATTTTTTTAACCCAAATTCTAAAATCTAAATTATTTTTGCATGTATTTTTTGTGAAATTATTTAAATGGTATTGTTATCTTCAATAACTGAGCTGACTAGAGCCTACTTAAAGGTTGTAACCTTGGAAAGACTTTCATTTGTGAAAGTACAGCAAGAAACAGAATGCGAGAGATCTCACCCCACATGTCAGAGGGTTACATTTATTACAGAAATGCTAGCATAAAACCCCTAGAGATAACAACTCACTGCAATATATGTTTTCAATTGAACTTTTTTTTCTTTCAATAGGACTTTCTTCTTCTTTTTCACTTGTATTAGACTGTATTTTCAAAGGATGTCCTTTGAGCAGTTACCACAGGTTAACAATACAAATCCATCTTTTCTTGTCAGTTCTCTCAAAGCTTTACATTAAATTGTATAGTGAAACGAAATGACTGAACATTCAATGGAATATATTTTAATTAAAAATGGCATGGCTTTAGTGTCCACAGAGATATTTTCAAAATCTATTAGGTGATTCAGAAGCCTAAAACCTATTTTCTATAAAAAATTTCATAGTCTTTATGAAGCCGAGGATCCACAGGCTTAACTCTTATGGATTGGGACAATGCTAAGCAAGTGTGTACTTGCACAAAATCTATTAGGCCTTTAGACAGCAATAAAAATCAGTCCAAGCAAGGAATTGAAATAAATGGTAGACTTTTAAATCCCTCAGGCCACAGTCACCTATAGTCACTGTACCATTTAATGCTAGAACAGGCTTTGCCATAGTTTAGGCATGCTCCACCTGGTACCCTCTCAGGCAATACTGAGGCAATGTTTGGGGTATAAGGTAGATCAGGAACTGTCCCCAGTAGGCATTTCAGATGTGGCTGTAGATGTGGATGTAGAGCATCAGCTGGTCTGTGCTTCACTCACCTCTTTTGTTTCTGATTACAGAGCTAAGCTCTCATACTTTTGAGAAAGTTATCCTCAGTCAGAAATTTTTGTTTAACTAGTTGCTATTGTCATTGCATTTATGGTATTTATACGAGTGCATACACACATAGAACTGTACTTGATGAGAATAATTCTGCATTGTATTAGCTGTATTTACTGCATGAGGACTTCATCCTTAGGCATGTGTACACAATACCTGTATGTGCTGGGGAAGGACCACATTTCCTCTTAAGAAGTACTGCCACAGACAGTGCTGTGTACATCCCTCAGCCCAGGAAGAGAACAGCAGTGGAAACCCAAGGGAGAAAAGGATATAGGCTGATCCTGAGCCTGTGGAGATGGATTTGCTGCTAGTGGTTGATGTTGTGTAGTGTTGAGAAGGGAGTTTGCCAGCAATAGAGGAGAGAAATGCTCAGCCCTTGGCCCTCTGTGTGTTGTTCCTAATGCAAATGTTTTGGTTAGTGCCAGAGTCTACATAATGGAACAAATCCTAACCACAAACCCTTAACTGGTACCATAGACTGAACAAGTGTCAAACTGGACATTTGAGAATGTGAACTAAAGTCTTTGTCAAAATTAGCCATGAAGGAGGATTGTAGGGCAACTTCACCACAGATCTTAACTTCTTCTGGCAGACTACAAAGGAATTATTGATACACATTTCTTTCTTCACAGACTGTGTTATGGCTCCACCTGGCAGGAAACACAGGGATTACTTCATTAAAAACTGTTAAAAAAGAAGCAATCAACAGTGTATATAAGTAAAAGGATGATCATGTTTCCAGTTTGTCTTATTATTATCCAGGATTTGTAGTGTCCTATTCACACATCTAGATGCCTCCACATTCAAAAGAGAAGCTTTCTCATAGCCAGATTAGAGACTGACTGTAAAATGAATGATGGGAAAGAGATAGAAACAGCCATGGGAAGGAAAGCAGAGATAGGTGAGCTTGAGAGATGATGGGTCACCAACATGACTGATCTTGCAAATATGTTCCTGGGCTCACTCTGAAAGGTACAGAAGGGAAAAATTTGAAGGAAGTTGATGTATGATTGTGGGTGGTCTTCTTCTTGTGTGAGAACCAACTTACTTTGTGTAAGCCAAAGAAACAGCTGAATTGATTAGTTTGTCAGTATGGGTCTAATAGATGATGGAGCCAACCCCAGCAGTAAATGAGCTACACTGGGAAAGTGTCTGAGGGAGTGATTGCTATAGCAGTTACTTGGACCATAACAAGGATGAGACACTGCTCTTCAAAGCCAGACAAAAGGATGCTGCAGCAGCTGAGCCATGGGCCTGGGCAAGAGTTTCAGCTGTGTGGATGAGTGAAGAAAGTAACTTCTGAGAAATAATCAACTACAGTGATCATCTGGCATCTAGACAATCTACCTTCTTTAGAAAAAAAATAAATGAGAGGTGTAGGAGGTGCAGTTCACTGGAAAGTTATGGCCTCTGATTGCAGGCCATATACAGGGAAAAGATAGATGTGTGTGTTTCAGTCTGGAAAAGTGAACATGGTTAAAACATTCAATAGGGATCTTCTGCCACAGTAACTCTGAGTGTATCTACCAGTAGAAATCAAGCTCTAAGTCTAACATCGGAACATGCTGGTATCTTGCCCAATTCTGGATCAGTGTATCAACATGGCAGAAACTCAGCCTCGAAAAGAGGAGCAGAAATACAAAAAACAGACAAATTTTGATCTGTGAGATCCTGCACGTAAAATACTAGATATTGTCCAATGCTAGCCACTGGAGGGCACTCTATACTTGCTGTTGAAAGTCTTTTACACATACTTGAGCTAGTTTGTTCAGCATGTAGCAAATTTAGCTGTATGATGGTGCCTGTGCCTTGAAATGAGTGCTAAACAGCATGACAGGTATCTTTTGCTCCATATTTGGTTTTCTTGTCTTTGTAAAATATCCAACGTGACAAGGAATCTGTGAGTGGGGCAGGGACTAAGGAGATGAAATTTGTTGCAGATGTACTGAGCCCATCATGAGAACTTCTCCGATTTTAAAGCAGTGCTTTCAATAAATGAACTAAGAGTGACAAAGTGTTGTTTTGAGATGAGAAAAATCACTAAGCAACCTGATTTCTTATTGGCTTCACAAGTGTTTTCACAGAAAACTTTCTACTTGATTCTACTTGATTTCTACTTGAATGTGGTTTCATTTGTGACTTGTATATTTATAAGACCAAATTTCCAAAGTGGCCTACACTGATGGCATCTATTATAGTATTACGTATGAGTAGTTCCCAGTTCCTACATATTTAAAAAAAAAAAAAGTCTTTTCCTATATGATTAGATTGATTATGGCTAAATTTTGCTGGCTCTGATATATGATCGGCAAAAAAGAGGAAAGGTTAAAAGTGCATCACAGTATTAGATGTACTGCATGAATATTAGCAGTAATTACGTATTCTTATTACTTCTGAAAGTAGTATGAATCTTCAGGCATGTCTCATAGTCTTTTCAGGAACACTGCTAGATGAAGAAACATAAAAGGTTTTGGTTATTGTCTTAAAGACAATTTGGTGATAAAACTAAAAGACTATGTTTACAGATATGTTAATGAAGTAAATATTGATTAATTCACATTTTATCCAACATCAAACAGAAAACTTCACTTTTCTAATGCTGTCTTTTCCTGAGTGTCTTATAGAAAATAAGAAAGTTCATCTCCCTTCTGAGTTTTAATTTAGGTTATCTAAATCTCTGACTAATTTTTTCTTTTATTTATAGGTAGCTGCATATCTGGGTATGTAACCAACAGAAACTGAAGATTTATAATTCTGAGTAGTAGTACAAATGAGTGAGATTAAACAAATTAACAAGTTTTAGGTGGCTTTAAAAGATGATAGGTGGGAGCAGGATAAAAGAAAATGAAGATGAAGGAGAAGTGCTTCTTAGGAGAGGTAAAAATGAAGAGAGAAGAGGAGAGAGTGGAGAAATGAAGGAGAAAATGGCCTTTTGAAGAACCAGAGGAGTATGCACTACCAGTGTGCTCCCACATTTTTAAGCAACACTGAGCTTTTCCAATTGTAAATCAAATCCCTAGACACCAGTAAATGTGCTTTACAAACAGATACAGCTGATCTGGACCAGGCAGCTTTCCTATTACTGAAAGAAATCTGCAGATTACTTCTATTTCTTTCCTAATGTTCCTCTTATCTTCTTGTTCTCTTCCTTTCAGTGTCCAAGCAAAACCTATGATCCGCTTATAAAATCTACCAGAGACTTTCCCGATGATGTCATTAGCTTTATTAAACGCCACCCGCTGATGTACAAATCCGTTTACCCAGTGACGGGAGGACCAGTATTCACTCGAATCAACGTGGACTATCGGCTGACACAGATTGTAGTGGATCACGTCATGGCAGAGGATGGGCAATATGATGTCATTTTCCTAGGAACAGGTATGAAAGAGGACTTCCACTGCCATTCTGCACTAACCACATCCTTTAAGAACACTTTTAGTCCACCAAGTCCTAGGTAAACCTGTTGATTAACATCTTTTTTCTATGCGTGCATCTTCAGAAATCACTTTGGTGCTCTTGATTTTATGCCAGGACTTCATGCAAATGCTGAGATTAGATTAATTTTTCAGCTCAAGAGAATGCTACTATTGGATTTTATTGGTATTTTAATGCCTCCTGGTCCCTAGGTGAGATACCAGTTAAGGGCCAAAGTACCTGGACTTTCTTACCCTCTGAATACCTGCCTTTACATTACATGGTAGTCTGGCTCAAATTCC